TACCTACACCTATGTCTCTTTCTGAATCTTTCCTTATTCATAGTTGCATTTATCTTTGACTATACTGTCTTTTTACCTTTCTTTCATATGCAACAGTTATGAAGTTCTGTTGACTTCATTAGCACATCTCATCTATCTCTTCATCTATATTGAATAAACTTTACTTTATTTGAGCATTTCATTACTGTCAACCTTGTCACTACTGTCATATCTTGTGTTTCACATTTAATGTCCTTTTGGTGTTTTGATATTATGCTGGTCCCATCACTTAGATCTTGGAATATCATCATATCATTTTAATTGGGCATTGATGATGCTATTTTGTGTCCATCTCAAAGAGGTGGACACTACTTCTATACATAACAGTTCTAGGTTGAACTCTACCACTTATTCACTAAGCAACCTCACCATGTTTCCTTCCTATCTCAAGCTACCAGTTAACTTATCCATAAAATGAGAACATTGGAGTGTCTTTAAATTCCCATCCAATTCTTAAGTTCTGTGAAGTTACGATTGATAAGGAAATCTGATACTAGTTGCATACTAGTCATTTTGGCATGAATTTGTTCATCAGGTCTTGTCTTTTGTGACTGCTACATCTGGGTGTAAAGAAGGCAAAAATGAAAAGTTCAGAGGTTGGAGCATGACTACAGAAAATTCTTAGGTAACATGAGTTATGCACATTTCCAGGGCAGGTTATCGTACAGAAAATGTGGAAGAGTGATGTTTGCAATACTTTACTGAATTGACAGTGTTCCTTTGGGTAGGCTCTGTTCTTTCCACCATCTGTTTCAAGTGAGGAACGACAGAGGGAAAAGGAAAAAGATAAGAGAGGAATCTGTGAGTCTGCAGGGTTTAAGTCTAGGAATAGTTTTGGGGTGACAGAAAGATGTTAAGCTATAAGAAGTGGTAATTGGGAATTGGTGATCTGAGAGAGGAGGTTAAAAATCAAGAAACAGTAGATTTTTGATTATGGAATGAGGAGGTACATGAGAGAACTTGGTCAGGTCCTGGCTGAAAGGACAGAGTTAAGATTCCTAAGGAGATATCTATAAAAGAGCTGACCTTAAGGAGATAATGTCAAATATTATTCTCCATGGATTAGATTTGGGATCTATACTAGAGGCAGTATGGTATACTGAGGATAACAGAAAGTAAAACTGACATTTCAGTATCACCTTCCCTGAGTAAGCTACTTAATTTCAGTTTCCCCATGTAAGTACTGAGGACAACGATATTATCTTTAACTACATTATTGGGATACCATGAGGATTCATTGAGAGAATAGACTGGGTTGTTCACTTAATTGGGAATAATAGGATGAAATGAAATCACTGAAAGCTAGAATTATTTTTACTGTTATCATTCTGTACCCAGAGTCAAGCTCTGTGCCTCACATATTGACGCTCTTGAATAGATGAGTGATAAATGAATAAATACGCTTGGGAACATATGTAATGCTATTTAAATGAGATGATAATCACTTTTCAAGTATGTTATGGGGGGTGCTTGCTTACCTATTTGTTGAAATAAATTAATACCCGAAATCACCTCAATTCCAAAATTCCACAATTCTGTGATTAGTTTTATTCAATATATCCATTAGTTATAGGATTAAAAGACTCGGGAACATTCTCATGAAAACAATATAGTAGAAAAAGTTTTCTGGACAATTAATACTTTAGAAAAAAGAGAAACTTGATTTCTCTTTTGTGGAACAAAAATTGATTTGTAGGACAAAGTTATAGTTTAAATCCTGGCTCTGCCACTTTTTAGTTATTTGATCTTAGACAAGGAAGGATGGTGGTATAGGGAATAAAAGGTGGGTATGGAGTCAAGAAAATATGCATTTAAATCCTAAACCTCAGAAAGTCACAACCTCTTTCAGCCTTAGTTTCCTCAATAGTAAAATGGGAGTATTGGACTCTATAGTACTGTGAAGTCATTTTATTTCACTGGGCCTCAGTTTCCTCACATTTGAAATGAGGAGTAGACTAAATGTTTTTTAAAGTCACTCTCAGCTTTCTGATGCTATCGTTCCTTTGTGACTTTCTTAATGTCCCTGAACATGGAAACAAAGCTCTATGAACCTTTTGGAATTAAATATAGCTAAGTGTGAAACACTTCCCAGTTTATCCTGATATGTTTGTCATATTAAACTTGTTCATAGATGTTTAGGAAGTAGTTTCTTCAGATAACAAAACCAGGAGCCACAGGTGAACAATTTAAATGAACAAAGTAGATAAAATAGATAAATCTGATTTCATGAAATTTAAAGACTTCTGCAGATTCACACACAAAAATAATGCAACTAGAATTAGAAAAGGAGTAGTTAAATAAAGGGGAAACCTGTACTAAATTTCTCAGAGAAGAGTTTGATATCCAAAATACATAGATAACCAGCTGCTATTGTTCCCCAACTCATTCCCCAGTAGATAATTGGTGAAAAGATATGAACAAACATTTCCCAAAAGAAGAACTGCAAACTTTTAACAACCATATAAAAGAATGCTCCAAATAAATAGTAAGTACAGAAATGTAAATCAAAATTGATATTTCCTAGCACACTATGCAAATTGTTAAGAATAATAAAAGATAGGGATAGGCAACGGAGAGACTTTTTAGGAGAAAATCACAACCCTCCATTTTTTTTTTTGGTGGAGTTGTGAATAAATACTTTGGGAAAAGCATTTTGGAAAACAATTTAGAATTGTACAAATAAAATGACTACACTGACCATAATTTTTTGACTCAGAGATTCCATTACAAGATGAATACTCCAAAAATGCCATTGATAAGAAGGAATTCCCGATACATAAAAAAAAATGTAACTGTAATTTTGTTGTAGTCAAAAACTGGACTTAAGTAGATGCCCATCAAATAAGGAATAGGTAAACACATAGTGGTACATAAATATAAGGGTCTATTATTATTGGGTACAAACTGAGTAATATGAGGAATATAAAGAACAATGGATACACTTGCAGGAACTGATGTAGAGTGAAGTAAGCTAAGCCACAAAAACCATATGCACACTGACAAACATAAATGTTAAGAACAATTACCACAAAGCAATTAAAATGAATCTTGTATAATTACAAAAGACAAACATGGTACCTGAAAAGAGATATGAGAAGACATTCTCCATCTCCCTGCCATTCCTTGGCAGAGATGGGAGTTTACTAGTATGGCACATTCCATATTTTCAGACTTTTGGATGTATTGATTAATTTTGCTGATTTTTATCTTTCTCTTTTTGTTTTCTTTAAAAATATGTTATTATCATATGCAATGTTTCTCTGGGAAAGGGATGAAAATAGGATATTCGTATGATATTTAAACAGGAAACAACAACAAAATTTATTTTTAAAAAAGAAAGGGTCAAATTTATGCTTAGGATTATAGATCTAGAGATTGAAGGGATGTCAGAGGCAACCTAGTCCAACCTATTCATTTTCCCTATTCATCAAGGAAACTGAGGCCAACAGCTATTAATAGATTTGCCCAAAGTCATAGAGGAAGTATTATTCAGAAGCAAGACTCGAACCCAGGTACTGTCACTCTAGAAACAGTGGACAACAGCTTTTCCACTGTTCCAAACTTTCTGATGCTGGAGAGGAGGGACTTTCCAGCAATGAGAACTATCTAAGTATGGAAAGAACTATCTTTGGAAGTGATCTCTCCTGCCCCTTACTAGAGGTCAAGTGCAAATTTGACAATGACCAGCTGGATATGTTGTAGTGGAGATTACTTCTCTGGTATGGGTTGGACGTGATGCCTAGTTAAGATCCTTTGATACTAAAATCTGTGACATGGCTACTCAGTTTCAGACAGGTCAGTCAATAAACATTTATTAAGTGTCTACTATGTTCCAATCACTGTACTAAGCTCTGGAGATACAAAGAAAGACAAAAACAAAACAAAACGGGGCTTGCAGGCTAATGATAGGTCTGAATAAGAGAAAGTCCATAGAGTCCCATCGTACTTCATTGGCACCATGCTTGTAACATTACTTTTTAATTATTTTATGGTTGTTCTTAACATTGATATTGCTGTTGATATATATATATATATGGTTTTGTGGATTGGCTTACTTACACTTTACATCAGTTCTGTATATCCATTCTGCTTTGTACTCCTTGTATTTGTCACTCCTTACCAGTACTCTTCCCAGAATGCTGGGAATCATCTGGTTTAGGTCTTGTGAACCAAGGCTGAAGATAAAAAGCCTTTGGATTATGAACCAACAAGATATGGAATTCAAACAAGAACTTACATTCAGAAGAGGAGAGTTAAACCTGGGGGTAAAAAAGAACATTCCATAGGTAGTTGAGAAGTAACTTGTATACTCAACTTTGCTCCTCCTCTTTTTGAATTATTCTGCATTGACCTCCTAGAAAACCATTAACCCTCCTTAGCAGATTATATCCTATTTTGATCTCTCACCTTTACAATCATGATGAAAATAATGGAGAAGATGTAGACAAACACAACTAATTAAAGAAAAGCTGTGAAAAGGAGGTCCTGAAGAAAATACTCAAATAATGGGTTGGGGCCAGAAAAGAGCATGTGGAGTAGCTTTATAGTGATTGCTGGCATTACTTGCCATGCTTGTATTTATTGATTCAACTTTCAAAATGAAGGAATTGAATGTAAGATTTCAGCAGTGGTTATAGTCCATAACATTTATATTGTGCTCTAAATTTTTTAAAACATTCACATATTTTATCATATTGATCATGTCACCATTTGAAAGGTATTCCTTGATGAAGTTATAAAATAAGTATACTTTGTGTTATTTTTATTTAAGAAAAAATAAAAAAAGAAAACTCTAATACAACAATTAGAATTGTTCACCTGGTCACTATATTTCCTGGTCACACCTTATATTAGTTCACAGAAAAACTCTATTTTATAGTTTATTATAGTGTTAAATATATTGTTTTGTTTTTGGCAGCAAGGGTCCTTTTCTAAACATGGTTTGCAACAAAAATCACATCATGCCATCTTCTGGGAACAGATCTTTCCATCCTACATCTTTTATCTTACTTGGAATACCAGGATTGGAGAAATCTCAATTCTGGATTGCCTTCCCATTTTGTGCCATGTATATTTTGGCCCTGATAGGAAATATTACCATTCTACATGCGGTACGTATTGACCACACCCTCCATGAGCCTATGTATATCTTTCTGGCTATGCTAGCTTTCACTGACTTAGTTTTGTCCTCTTCTACCCTTCCCAAGATGCTGGGAATCTTCTGGTTTGGTTCATGTGAGATTGAGTATCATGCCTGCCTCACTCAAGTCTTTTTCATTCATGCCTTCTCTTCTGTGGAGTCAGGTGTTCTCATGGCGATGGCCCTGGATCGTTATGTGGCCATCTGTTTCCCACTACGCCATTCAACTATTTTATCCACCTCAGTGGTGGCTAAACTAGGTGTGGCAGTGATGGTAAGAGGTGTGTTGTGGGTGAGCCCCTTCTGTTTTATGGTCACCAGGAAGCCCTTTTGCACTAACAGAATCATCCCTCAGTCATATTGTGAACATATGGCTGTACTGAAACTTGTATGTGCAGACACCAGAGCAAATCGTAGGTATGGGCTTTTTGTGGCCTTCTCTGTGGTTGGCTTTGACATCATAATCATTGCTACATCCTACATTATGATCCTTCAGGCTGTGTTGCATTTGCCATCAGGGGATGCTAGGATTAAAGCATTTGGCACATGTGCCTCCCATATTTGTGTCATACTGGCCTTTCACATTCCTGCCCTCTTTACATTTCTTGCCCATCGCTTTGGCCATCAGGTTCCTCAGGTGGTCCACGTACTGTTAGCAAACCTCTACCTTTTGGTGCCCCCCATGCTCAATCCCATCATCTATGGTGTAAAGAACAAACAGATCCGGGAAAGGGTAGTTCGTGTCTTTTGTCAGAAGGTTACCTGAGATAAAGACTACTGAACCACCACTCTTCCTTAACCACTTACTGGTTAAGAAGTCAGTGAATCAGTATACTTCCTTTGCAATACCCTTATATGACTCGAATAGTCATCCTTTCCATTTGTCATTATATATGGGGTAGGATAACATCCATGTACCAAAGTTTATCAGTGCTTAACATTACAGGCATCACAAAAGGAGAGAAAAAGAATTATGATTCTGGCCTAGGAGACTTGCTAAGTTTCTGTTTGAAAGAGGTGTTCACCCAGCAATAGCACTTCTAGGGCTGTATCCCAAAGAGATCATACAAATGGGAAAAGGACCCACATGTACAAAAATATTTATAGCAGTTTTTTTTGAGGTGGCAAAGAATTAGAAATTGAGAGGATGCCCATCAATTGGGGAATGACTGAACAAGTTTTGGTATATGCATGTAAAGGAATACTGTTGTGCTATAAGAAATGATGAGCAGGTGGACTTCAGAAAAACCTGGAAAGACTCGTATGGACTGATGCTGAGTGAAGTGAACAGAACCAGGAGAATGTTGTACACAGTAACAGCCACGTTGTGTGATGACTAACATTGATAGACTTAGCCCATCTCAGCAATGCAAGGATCTAAGACATCTCCAAAGATCTCATGATGGAAAAGGCTGTCCACATCCAAAGAAAGGACTATGGAGTTTGAATGTAGATTGAAACATACTATTTGCTATTTTTTTCCTTCCGTTTTGTTTTGTTTTCTCTTTCTTGTGGTTCCTCCTATCACTTCTAATTCTTCCTTACAACATCACTAATGTGAAAATATGATTAATAGGAATGTATATGTATAGCCTATATCAGATTGTGGGCTGTCTTGGGGATGGAGGAGGGGAGGGAGGGGGAGAAAAATTTAAAACTCAAAAGCTTATGGAAGTGATTGTTGATAAATCAAAATAAATTAATAAAAAAGAAAAAAAGAAAAAATGGAAAAAAAGAAAGAGGTGTTCAAAAATATTGTGTTATGATTTTAATCTTACATAAAAAGGTAGGGCCTGAAAGACAAAATATGATTTTGAGCTAGTTTCTAGCAGTTAAATAAGCATTTAGGAGAAGGTGGGTGCTTTTTTCACTCTCCTCAATAGAGTAAGTATTTATGAAGCTGTCTAGCATTAAATAGGACTTTCAGCACACACATTTTCATTTTCTTATTAATGTCACTGCATAGGTGATAGCCTGCCATGGTGATTAAGGTGATGATCCTGACATCAAATTCAAATCTTACCTTTGACTTTTACTAGATGTGTGACTTTGGGCAAATCACTTAAGCTTTATGTACCTGATCCAAAGAAGTTCTCCAAATCGATGGAAGCTTAGATCTTTTGATGTAGTTACGTGACCATTTTCTCTCTGTGCTTCAGTTGATTGAAAGAAAATTGCAGAACTTTGAAATTTGTAAAGATAAATTTCAGCAGTCTGCTGTGAAAGAAGTCATTTGCAATCCTTTGAATTAAATTGATTCTCCTCAATACGCTCCACACACACATATTTCATAGATGGCAGCTATGAGATACTCTGGGACTCTTTGCGATTTAGCATACAGAAAGGTAAAAAGAATGTCGGCAGTTGTTAATCATTGAATGAACACAGGATTTGGAGGAAGAAGACCTACCAGATATTTTCATGTTTTCACTATCACCTTGTGAACTTGGAAATGTCACTATAAAACTTCTGTCTTTGATTTCCTCATTTGTAAAACAAGGGATCTGGATTATGTTACACCTAGGGTCTCTTTTAGCTCTGAAGTTTTTAAGAAGGGTTTTTGCTGGCCTGTGTGAGAGACAAAAATTAATACTACTTTTGATTTCTATTGTATTTTTTGATGTAATTAATATTAATGCAGCATTGATTTTTAGAGTTATCTGTATCTACCTGAACTTACTTTACTCAAAATATGCAGTCTGTCTTACTCTGAACTGGCTTAAGAAAGGTAGTGGTGCTATAGCTCATGCTTCTAGCCCCTGGGACATACATTTACTTGATAACCTTTTTAACCTGGGACTCTAGTTTTGTTTACCTGTAAACAGAAAGCACTTTAGACTGAGCCCCTCTCCAAAAGACAATTCTTTTACCTTTGTCCCTCCTTATAAAACCAAAGGTGTTTTAATCTTCCCTAAGGGGACAACTAACCAGGCAGTCCTGACTGGGGTGACTGATTTCCTGTCCAAGATTAGTAGAGGCAATTAGAGCCCATAAAGCAATAAACATTCCTTAATTGTCAGAAGGACCTGGTTATCCACACCTGAAGGCCAACTCGCCTTTCCCATCTGCCAATTGTGACATTCCTCAACTATCCAGAATTCCTTTCCTGCATCTCAATAAAGGGAGCTTTTCCCATCCCCTTTGGGGTCGTTATAGGTCATTACCTATAGAGAAGGCCAGTCTGACCCACCTAGTTAATAGCCATACACATCACTGTTAATAAACTGTTATCTTGCCTGGGGGGGAAAAGTGCTTCACTTTGCTTCTTTTGCATTTTATTCACCACACCTGGAGTCCTAGGGTTGCTCAACAGCTTCAGGAACCAGATTTAGAGTTGATTAGAAGGTACCAAATTAATGGAAATCTAGGAACCAGAACAAGTTTAGATTGAGCTGTAATTAAAACAACACAGCATTAGTAATTATAACAGGAATGACAGAAATGTTGAAAGTAATACACTGAACAAAATGACTACACTCAGAACACAAATATTACTTTAGGAGTATAGAGGAAAACAAACTTCAATTTCCCAGAGAATATGTATGTCCACATCACAGATTAATTGCATCTGAGAGAACAGAGAGAGTACAAACATTAGATGACTGAGCAATAGAAATCTCTAACAGGTTTCTTGAACCAAAAGCAGAAAGAGGCATGGTAGCGCAGCATGTAGGCAACTGCATTTGGAAGCTAAGTATGATCTGTTGAATAAGTGATAAATTAACAAATAGCAGGTATAAACAGGAGTAACTTTTAAGCAAGGGAGGAGAAGGCTGACTATATAGGAAAGACACCAACCCTCTTAGATACAGGTAAACTGTGCCATGAGTATTTTTCAGGAGCTCCCTGATCAAACTCTGTTGAGAAGAGGGATAAAACTTTGATTGTTTTTGTTGTTGTTGTAGCTTTATTATTAATTTTTTTCCATATTGTGTGTATCTATATTTCAGTCCTGTCAATATTTTGTGGTCTAGGGGTGCTTGGAACCCTCAAATGCAAGAGTACGGTTCATAATTCTGCCTTGAAAGAATTTGACCACTCAAGTCTTCTTTCAGTCAAAGTAGTGAGTTTATTGTAACACTAGTAGAAGTAGGCCAGAATCCTAGAGAGTCTGCAGTATTTGTGATGACAACAGTTTTTTTTTTTAGGAGACACATTTTAAGAATCCACGTATTTGATGAGGATAAAGTTGGCACTTTTATACAGAAAGACTGTGGGAAGATCTAGATGGGATTAAGGAGTGGCAAGTAGCTTGGGGTGGGCCAGGTGCAGACAATGAGGGCCACAAGGAAAAGACAGAAAAGGAATATTGACTGGGATGGGCTAGGTGCCTCAGGTGAATGCCAGGGATCTGGGTTCAAGGGCTGGGTTCCTGAAATTTGTAGGAAAGTTCAGAGGTTTTTCCTTTTAAAGATCCAAATCCCTCCCCCCATCAAAGAGGATGAGTAACTGAATAAATAGATCTAAGTTTATTTGGAAACACCCTCATTTTGAAATAGGCAGCTGTAAACATTCAGCCTGATATGTAAATTACCATTTAAATCCAAGTCCATGAGGTTTCAAAACATTAGATCCCTTGATTTTATATATATATATATCCCAGATTTTATCTAGGTATTGTGAAAAATGATTTTAATAACCATTACCTTGGAGGTATAGAGCTTCCTCCCTCCCACCCCCTTTTCCCAAAGTCCTGACTTTAAGTTCAGTTTTTCCTTCAGAGGACATCATTGTTAGATTGCATTGATTTACCTTATGCTGGTCACCACCACCCCCCTCCCCACACACACACCCAAGCTTAATGAGACTGCATGAATTTACCTTATCTTGGTCCACCCACCTAAGCATACAAGTAATTTAATCTAAAGGAGGGAAACCCATTGTGTTCTACTCCAGCTTGGGTGGAGACTGATTCTTTTGTATAGATGACTCAAGGCTGGGAATGGTGTGGTATAGCTGGAGGTGGTATTTTCTCTGCCAAGGGTGAAATAATGATGGAGTGACATCAGCCCTTGTTGGAAAGGCATAGGAATTGTGCACCCTAACTCCAAAGGGAGCCCAATTCCAAACTGTACCTCCCATGTGTGGACACATGCATGCTGTTTACTTTGAGAGAAATAAACACAGATACAGATACAACCTAATTTTGATTGTCTTTCTTAGACTGAACTTTGAAGGTTTACATTATTCATATGTCTTTAAATAGTTAAATATAAGAAATTTAAATATATATATCATTCAACATTTGTCATTGAAGTTATTTATTTTTGTTAAAAAAATGCATCTCTCTCTCAGTTGACCAACTTATTGTATAAGTCATCTTTCCTTATAAGCAGCAAAGCAATTAAGTGGTAAAAAGACCCCTCTATGTCTCCAGCTAAAGTTACATGGTAAAGACCTAGGAGTAATAATTCAATCAATCTATTGATATTATAACACTGACTCCCTCCTTTATGTCTATCCCTGTGCTTCAGAATTATACTGTGAATTTGACTATCCAGATATGAAATGTCTGGTTTCAAGAAAATGGGTTCTCCTTCCCTAAGGGACATTCAAATAGAGGTAGAATGAATAATTTTAGACTATTTCATAGAGTGAATTTCTCTTAAGGTATAAGTTAGACTACTTATTCTCTGAAGTCCCTTCTAAATCTACAATTCTATGATTCCATGGAATACCTCAGCAGGCTGCTGACATTTCTGTGAGATACCAAGACTACAAAAATACAATGCAACAAATATTTATTAAACATCTGCTAAATATGGA